TATAATCCCCTGGAGAATAGTGGAATAAACACTTCTGAACAAAAACATTTGGTGCCTCAGCCATCATATATCAAGCTGTGCCAGCACATTCCAGTCCTCACCCTATGCCATCTCCACCCCACCTCCTTTGGTCACTCCTTTGCTTCACAGGACCCCTTCCTCCCCCTGTCCCATGGGCTGCAGCCTACCTAAATTTCAGTCATACCCATATTATGTTATTTTTTAACGATACATGTGTGGCTTAGTTCGCTATTTTAAGGGCCCTCTCCTTTCCCATCTCTTACTCATCTGAACTGTTACCAACAATACCCCTGCCTGGAGGCTCTGAGCACACCCTGTCCAACTGCGTGGGCTATCAGAAGCCTAAGCACAGTTTATTTAACTACAGTAACTGTGCAGCAGTCTAAAAACCGTCAAAATCGCAATAACATCAAACATTTTACTGTTCACCAATGCGCTAAGTGAGAACATAATTTTTCAGCCAGCACCACAACTTCCCCTCTCCCAGCACGGGAATGGGGCAGAAAAGCCTGCCCTCTAGTTTGTCATGCTGCATTAGCAGGGTGGCACAATCACATCCTTCAACTTCCTACCAGTTTGACAGTGTCCAACAACCACCACTGTGAGAATTACGCAGGAGGTTGGGGGTTTTGGGGGGTTGGTTTGTTTGGCGTTTTTGTTTGTTAATGTAAAGTGAGAGTTATTACTAGGCCCTCTCTTACATAGCAAAAAACAGGTAGGTAGTGTTTTGTTTTGTTTCAAATATACTGTAAAGACTATTTAAAGTTTATGTACATTAATCAATGTTAGGGTATGACAAACAATTCCCACTAACAACATGATCACCAATATCACCATTTTATCTGGAGACTTCCTACTCGGTGCTAGCAGTTAATGGATGAATTAAGTCAGGCATCCCTAACCACAAACCTGAGCTGATCACCTGCATACTTTCACAGGCTGGGTACCCACCACAATGTTCTGCCGGCATTTTAAAAAAACAGAGATAAGAAGTACAGAAGAAGAAAACTAAACTGATTTTGAGAAGTCACTGATTTTCCACATCTCAATTCGTCCCCCACTGCCTTTACTATTTATAGTCTTGGAAACCATTCCAGAACATTTCTGCTACAATCTCAGTCTCACGCTATTTGCTCACTGCTAGATACAATTGCTTGCTTTAGCTAAACTAATTGTCAACCTATACAAACACATGATGGACCACTAAGTGAGAGGCAATTCTGAAGTACTGAATGGCTTATGCAGACCACGTTTTCCCAATTTTGTCTTTTTAACAACAGTTGTCTCAAATCCATTCCTAGTAATAAAATGAACAAACCTACAGTATCACTTTAAAGTACTACACCATTAAAAATTTTACATCACCATTTTATAGAAAATAAAAGCCAAAGCAACGAGAATATTGATCTCCCCACAACTTGTATCAGTTTCCATATTTGTACATGTGGTGGGTTGACCCTGGCCGGACCCAGCTGCCCACCAAGCCGCTCTATCACTCCCCTCTTCAGCTGGATAGTGAGAGAGAAAATACGACGAAAGGCTCGTAGGTTGAGATAAGGACAGGGAGATCACTCAGCAATTACTGTCATGGGCAAAACAGACTCAACTTGGGGAAATTAATTTATTACCAACCAAATCAGAGTAGCATAATGAGAAATAAAACCGAATCTTAAAACACCTTCCCCCCACCCCTCCCTGCTTCCCAGGCTCAGCTTCACTCCCGATTTTCTGTACCTCCTCCCCCCTCAGCAGCACAGGGGGACGGGGAATTGTGGTTGCAGTCAGTTCATCACATGTCTCTGCTGCTCCTTCCTCCTCACTCTCTTCCCCTGCTCCAGTGTGGGGTCCCTCCCACAGGAGACAGTCCTCCACAAAGTTCTCCAACATGAGTCCTTCCCACAGGCTGCAGTTCTTCACGAACTGCTCCAGCGTGGGTCCCTTCCACGGGGTGCAGTCCTTCAGGAATAGACTGCTCCAGGGTGGGTCCCCACCGCTGGCGGGAGGGGAACAGGCTGCTCCACTGTGGACCTCCATGGGCTGCAGGTGGATATCTGCTCCACCGTGGACCTCCATGGGCTGCAGGGGCACAGCCTGCCTCCTCATG